CTCGGGCTTATGTGTGGACATCGTGTCGAGACACACTGTTAGTATTTACTATTACTTATGGTGTCGTTTTGCATATTCAGTGCTACTTGGCGTAGATATGTCTCAGCCCGATACATACCTGTCCAGCATCGCCGTATCTGCACTGCTTGTGCCATTTTAAAGTTTAACAACTGTCAACGATATTTTTTATCATCAAAAAATACATTTTATCATAGGTTAAGAGAACCAAATTTGATAAGAATGATCTAAAATATTTCAAAGGAAGCAGGCAGAAGGTTTATATGAATTAAAATCTGTATATATTTTCAATGAAAGTTATGTTGAATTGAGGAAATAATGAAAGTAACCGCCATTATGTTAAAATGCTAGTCTTTGTAATATACTAGTACTTAAACCAAGACCATTAACAGTTACTATAAATATCTAAATAACTGATATATAATCTAGAAAACAGTACACATGCCCCCAAGTAAGAAACACCTGCACATCATGACAATGAATGTTCGCTGATAATTAATATACTGCCTATTTATCGTTTATGTTTCCCTATAAATGTGCGTTTGAGCACGCGATGAATGTCTCTCCTATATAAATACACATACACGTGTAGCTATCGTGAGATTTATTACTCTTACAAAATCTGAACTGCGCTGTGTAGATCATGTAACCACTTCACTGTCTGCCGCTGGTTCACGTGCGCTACAACTTAGGCAATGATATAAAATTAAGTTGGTTGTTTTTTCATCTCTATAAAACGTTTCCTTTTATTAGAAACCTGTTTCACCTTGGATAGGAAAATGCTTCAGATGCGATCTATACACACGTCACTGCGACAAGCATTTTGGGTCTTGTGTGGTTAGAACCGAACATGATATTAAAGAGAAGTGTACATAAATAGGGATCGAACGGCGTTTTTTTCATTTTCATGTCGGTATGAACGCGAATCTGTCACATCCATATTGCATGAAGCCCGCTAAGCATGGGTTTTCTCCATGTTATCCAAAGCAAAGCGACAAGACACTCATTGGACAAGGTTAATCTATGGCGTCATATACAAGTAAACCACGTGTTACGTCACGAGAGTATTTGCTTTCATATAGGAATTGAACGGCTTTTTTATTTCATGCCGGTATGAACACGAATCGGTTACATCCATATTGCATGAAGCCCGCTTAGCATGGGTTTCTCCATGTTATCCAAAGTGAAGCGACAAGACACTCATTGGACAAGGTTAATAGATGGCGTCATATACAAGTAAACCACGTGTTACGTCACGAGAGTATTTGCTTTCATATAGGGATTGAACGGCGTTTTTTTGTTTTTTTTTCATTTTCATGTCGGTATGAACGCGAATCGGTTACATCCATATTGCATGAAGCCCGCTAAGCATGGGTTTTCTCCATGTTATCCAAAGCGAAGCGAAAAGACACTCATTGGACAAGGTTAATCTATTGCGTCATATAAAAGTAAACCACGTGTTACGTCACGAGAGTATTTGCTTTCATATAGGAATTAAACGGCGTTTTTCTTTTTCCTTTTCTTTTCATGCTGGTATGAACGCGATTCGGTTACATCCATATTTCATGAAGCCCGCTAGGAATAACACCCAGATCGGTTCACTCTCAGTATATCCATGTACGTTGGAATTCTTATCCGATCTTACACATATAATAATACAGCACGATGTATCTGTTTAAACTGTTTAATTTAAAGACATGGAAGAGTTCTATCTATTCCCAGTGGCCTTTTGAGATAATACTACGACATCGAAAGATACAGCATAAAAAAGTCTAAATGCTGATTTGACCCCCGTTAGGGATAACACTTGGGGTTCGACAACACTTCAAGAACACGTGCATTAATCGGGGAACGACGAAATTCACTCAGCACGACTTCGATGGTAAGAATAGACAAGTCATAAAAACTGTTTTAATTTGATAAGAAAAAGGACAGAAATCGCAGCGTTAAATTCCATTAGCATGGAGTGGGTGTATTCTGATGTTGTGTGTGAACAATAATTGTCAAGAATAAAACCACAATAATTCCCTCCCTGTAAACAGTAGAAAGGTTCACTGTAAGACGCTAAAAATAGTCATTAATAATGATTTTTTGCAAATCGGAGGCTTTCTTCTGTATGTTCTGGTTAGAGAACACTGAATAATCCACAACTGATGTGCTGCCCTCATCACAATACAATGGGATCTATTTGTTCTCACTTTCCTACAAATTCCTTATGATGGTGGCTCCCTAGGCATTCCAGAATACACCGAGCTACACAGTGTCTTCATTCTCTACAGAGAATATCGTATGCTATGCTATGCTAGTTTAAGTTTCGTATCTGATGCCAAACGCACGTGCTATACCAATTTATGTTGACGACGGGTGAGATGACAAAATACCTTGTACAATGTAAGTGTAAATTACATATTTGCGAACATTGCAAATACACAACATTTATTGATGTCAATTTGACATGAAAAAATCTAACCTGAACTGACCTGCAATTTTATGTTAAAGTCATGTCAATTTCACATAAACATCCTTCATGTCAAGTCAAATTGTCGTCAATTTTTACATGAAATTGACCTGATTTTGAAATGAAGAAAGTGTTCCTGTGTATATAATATATATGTTATGTCATCAGCCCTTCACGTCAGACCTTCAAAGCAGGATATTTCTAGAAGTTTGGATTGAAGTGTTTTGTATATAATAATTTTAGACTGTTGTAAAGTTTCGTTCTATTTTAGAGTATTTCAATTCCCTTTTACCCTCCACTTTTGTTACTTGAGTATCGCCCACTTCTTCATCTCCATTACGGATTTATAGAATCATCTCAATCTTTTAATGGAAACGAGCCTTGTCGTGTTATGCGCATAACACTTTCAAATTTGCACAAAATTACAATACAGAAACGCTTCATTCAATATATATTACAAACAATATAAGAACGTGTCTTCATGAAAATTATCGTTATATCCTGTTATCAAAGTTGTTATGGATGAAAAATGTTACCTTATCAAAATGATGCAGCAGTATCAAGTAATCTGTACTGTAACCTGTATTTATCATGTAACATTTACTGTAACCTGCATTTATTACGTAACATTTACTGTAACCTGCATTTATCACGTAACATTTACTGTAACCTGCATTTGTTACTTTAGCCATATTTGTTACTTTAATCTGTATTTGTTACTTTAATCTGTATATGTTACTTTAATCTGTATTTGTTACTTTAATCTGTATTTGCTACTGTCACATGTATCTGTAACTGTAATCTGCATGTATTGCTATAACCTGTATCTGTTACTAAAACCTGTATATGTTACTGTATTTGTTACTATAACATGTGTTTGTTAATGTTGTCGGTATTTGTTACTTTAATCTGTATTTGTTACTGTAACTTGTATTTGTTACTTTATGTTTGAGTCTTCAATGAATTTGACTTTGTAAACAAAGAAACGTGGAGACAAGAGCTTCACGTTTACTGGGGACACAGCACGTAAGGTTACTATGATACAACTTGTTTACCTCTTTTACAACAAACCCGGCCACATCGTTTATCATGACCTCCGTTTAAGCAATCAATATTCTGTAGAAATTATGAAACAATTTCCGACAGGAGAATCCAAATCCAGTTGCTTTTAATTAGATATAATTATCGGTAGTTGTAGTATTGCATGGCGTTATTAACAAAACCGCATGATTGGTTGTCTCAAAGAAGCTCATTTTACACAAACATCCGGGCAATTCGGTTCTGCCCTAACAATTTTACTTTGTTATACTTTCATTGTAATTGTTTAATTATTATTACTTCTACAGCCTGCTCCTAATGGGTAAATGGCACACTATAATGTATTAAATACCTGCAACAATTTCCTTTTGATAATTGTCATAATTAGTTTAAGGTTCGAAAACATACAGTGACCTAGTTTGTAAAATCATTCACGTCTCTGTTTGTGAGGTTTGCAGAACTTTATTTAAAATGTAAACATTACCTCATCAACAAAAGTTCTTAAACCCGACAAACACTGACATATAACGTACAATATGATCATATTTTCTCTTCATATTGGAATTGAATTACTCATTGAAAGACGGGTTGACCACAACAATGACGGAAGTCACTTCCCTATATTTTCTAGTTTGGCTTTTCCCTTGGATTTTAGATACTTCATTAATGGATTACTAAAAGTGGAAACGAAATAAGCGAAACGAAACGGAATGGAAATTTATTTCATTTTCTTTTCTTTTTCTTTTCTACTTCTAGTGATGCCGCTAATGATCCACCTGCTACTCTCATTTCGGTAACACTATTGGAATTCATCGGATCCCTGGCTTACTTGATTTGATTAATCAGGCTTGATGAATATTCTTACCTTCACGAACAAACGCCTGTTTCAGTCAAACCCGTGAGGACGGTTTGATTAATCAGACTAAGGGAGGTTGCAAACAGTACCCCCTGTTACACAGCCATGTGGCAATCTATTTGGTTTGTAGGTCATGGTGAAGACTTATACACCAATGAATCGTTTGATCCACCACAAGTATTACTCTATTGTACACAGCATTGCAAGAACATATTTTATTTGACCCTTGCACTTGTTGAAACCTTTGACTTAAGAACATTGTGACAAGTTTGTTAAGTAATTAATCTACTCGCGAAAACTGATTTTCTCCAGATGTGATTTGATCCAAAATGTGATTTGAGCCAAAATCATTCAGAAAAAGGGGAAAAATTTCGTCAAGAAGAACCCCTGAGCTTTAATAGTGACTAAAGGTCCACCATAATTGATTTCCATAATTATACATCTTTTATGGCTTTTGTATCACATACGAACGCGAAAAGGTATACCTTAAGCTGAAACCTCTGAAACCTCTGAATCAAAAAGACAACGAAGCTGTGTAACGCTACCACCTTGGTTACTACGGATTCAATCATTAGTGCATACTACCCTCCTCACAAAAGCGACCTCGTGGAAAAGGAAAAAGACACTTACCTTGGTGAAGTCGCCGAACATAAAACCTTGCTCTAGACCCACGAAGACGACCATGAGGGCCAGCAGCTGACATTTGGAATCCTTCAACATCTCAAGTGTAGCCAAGCATAACTCCTTGGACGTTAGGTTCTCGCTGTCGTCCTTGTTCTGGTCGCACTGGTCCATCAGCGAGATGAGAATGACCACACCCATCACCCCACACCCAAGATATATACTCAGCAGCATAATCCGGGTACTCTCTGGAATCATTGTTATAGTATCGGCGGAATAACGGGCCTGGTCTTCCATCCCTTCCTCTATTAGACAATAGGTTGAACCACACGTAAAGTTTGTTGACGTGTTATAATACTGAAATGTGTTGGGGAACGTCTTGTTCTGTGACATGACTAGCGTAGTTATGAGATTTCCCCATATATTGCTTGTCCTGTACAGACCACAAAATATCCCCATGAATTTGTTTATTACTATATCCTGGTCCTGAATGTGGGAATGCTCAGCGTACGCAAGCGCAATGGTGGTAATGGAAGTTGCTTGTGCACTCCACATTGGGCCGGCCAAACAGCCGAGCACAATCCCTAATGGGAGCAACATGTAATGCTCAGGATGAAAATTCCCTGCGAAATATCCAGTGAAGAAAATGAACGACATGACCATTGTCCACTTGGTCGTTAGTTTCTTGATGATAAATGGCGCAACGATACACGAAAGGATGGTGGTAAGGTACATGCTACTAAGGGAGACCACTCCTACACCACCTTCCCAATTCATGGTGCTCTGTAGTCCCTGTAAGGAAATGAAGGCTGTAAATATAAACATGAAAGCAAAGCCGAGGACAATGACGTTTTTAAGGGCCTTGGTTTCGCTCATGTCTCTGACGGCCTTCATGGTGGCGGGGTCGTGGGGGAGAGTATGGTAGCTTGTCAGAGTGTATGAGTGGATCGTGCTCCTCCTCCTCCCCTTGTTGTACTCCGCCCCGCCACCCCCCATCAGTGAAATTACGTTCGTGTGCCCGTGGGCCAGGGGATCTACAATCATCTTCTCCCTTGTTATCTCTGTGTCCGACGCCATTTTGGTAATGGTAGATATACTAATCAATGCTGATGTACGCTGATACACGCTAATATATACGTCCACAATTGTCAACAAATAACGGGGTATATCATTGAGTATTTGACGTCTCCCCTCGCCAAGTCGTACTAAAGTAAAAACAATCTTTCCTCTTCCACGAATTTATCTTAGAAAATAAAATAGGATTGATGAATATCAAACTATTTTCACCTATTTAAATATCGAGGGTAAATCGACACAATTGTTCTATAATTAGTAGTCTTTTACATTCTATTTGACGCCACCCCGCGGAGTTCTTTGCGAAAGTGTAAATCAGCGCTGTCTAAATGATGCCATATTAAACACACATCGGTAAGACCTCACCATGATTATGTCGTCGGTAAAAACAATAGCATCAATCCGCAAATCAGCTCCATGTGATGAATGGCGTTGTTAAAGACGCGTGCGTGCTGTGAGAGCGCTGACGATTACTGATTTATCGTCCAACTTAAGCTTTAGAGGGACGAATATTCAGTGATGTAGAATTGTTCGGACTTACTAGAAGCCACCAGAACAAGCTTAGCGTCTAACGACAACTGTTATTACAGAGTATTACGTCCAAACAGATAAGGCTTCGTTTTTGCAAACTCGTGTGTTAAATTCCGTAGCTGTATTCAACAGGAGGTGGCAATAGAGGTAAACTTGATCTGGATCCCAAACACGCGAGGGACGCAGATTTAGCACTCGGTTTATATCGACAAAACAATGATGATATCTCTTTAAAAGATAAGGATGAAGAGACAGACGTTTACTCTACATAAAACAGGTTATGTCTATTAACTTAGTGATAACACATTGTGTCCGATTGTAAAACTTTCATCATGGGATAAATACTTTGATCACAGAAGTCCTGTCTGTCTCCCTGGTAGAATTATCGCATATATCAATACAAGTACAGCCTTTGGGTTCCAGCTGATGTATGACCTTTGACCTTTAACGTGTTCACTTATTTTGATACCGGGTACCAATATATTTGACTCCTGTGCAATTCTCGTTTCTATCGAAAGTATTCCACATAAAGTATCACATGAAAACAAGCTTAATTAAGTAAATTATAAAAGAAGTAAAATGGAATGTTTTATATTCGGACGTAAATCACTGTCAGTTACAAACACTCATACGAGTATGATAAATAATGGAAATGTTTGACAAATCGCATCACTGATGTTACCGGAACGTAGATTCGTTCCTATTACGTACTATCCAGAAAAGTATGGAACAAACTTTTCGGTGTCAAAAATTACAATTCCTCAATCATGGCGGACGTAACATTTCCTGTTGATAGTTCTCCTTAGCCACTAGTGTTTTGATTACTGACGGAGGGTCCACGCTAATTAAGTTAGTCCATCATTAGCCGGGTACGGATATCCATCTCATAACAATTGGGTTTCCCGTACTCTTGATCATTAAGAAGAATGACGGATGAGTAAGTCATCGCTTATAGATATGGCACCAGCCCTTCGTTTTCAAACCCGATTGAATAGTACAATCTGATATTATTTTGGTGAATACTTTTATATCGCCAATCAGTATGTATATACTAGTTAGAAGAGTTTTACAGGAGTTCCGTAATGACAGCACCAGACCCACGTGCGGCAGCACTTGTACGAGGATTGTGTAATTGGTGGTTTGTCTATTTACTGTAATCGGCACACATGGCGGTCTGACACCTCTGCTACGGCACTAACAAATCGTAGTCCCCCCTGAAAAGTATGCTGTATCGAACGCTGTTTGGGCAACGCTCCAACTAAAGGATGGTATCAAACGCATCGAACGCCAAGAGGTGGCGAGACAAGAAAGTCCAATACAAGTGTGGTATTTCTCTGCGTCAGTTCGCCGGTGGTATGGTATCCAGAAGCGCTCTCTGAAATATTGCAAAACAATACACAAGGTAAAATAGCCATAAAAAATGATAAAATAATTTGATTGGTCATTCATGTTACACTACATCAATGCGGACATCCGGTACTACTGTCATATATCATAAACCAGCTTCGAATCGAGAGCTCTATGAGTATAACATAGATACTTCATTGCGTTTACAGTCACGAATCATGTTATTCCTCGAATGTATTACATCGTTATTGTATTATAGAATTCAACACAGAAGCAAGTGTTCAAACATTATGATTTTTAAATAGAACTAATCATCAAACAAAAAACCTTCCCGATTGTAAATACAAACATGAGACTGTTTACATAAGTTTGATATTTTATATTTGAATATCCGTCATAACATCTTATGTAAGATTACTACGTAAATAGTTCCTAGAGACATTGTTTCCCTATAACCTTATAACGAAACATTTTAATAGATGCATTGTAATTGTATTAGTTATGTAGTACAGATATATAACTTATATATGGTACTCTTATCACATATGTTGTATATGTTATACATGTGAATAAAAAGGACAAAACAAACCATACACATCTATAAAATAAAAATATTATTTACGCATGCTTCACTGTTTTGGAATTATCGATTCAATTATTGTATTCTCGAATCAAATTTTAAATTAATGACCCTACCAACAACCTCCGTCATGTTTTCCAGTATTAGGTAAATTAACTGGGGAGTAATTGAGAAACTGTAATACGAGGTCACTTACACTTTGAAAGACAGATAGTTTAATTACAATCATCAACGTGTGAAACACACATAAATCTGATCAAATTATTCCTGATGTAACAATGGTTCAAATATCTGGACCCTCAACAATAAACCTTTATCGTCCCCTTAGTAATAAATCGTGATCTTTTTGTGTTGTATCTGTTATATCTGTTGCTCGGTTCTGTATGTTGCGTGTTAAATGCGACAACAAAATTCCTCAAATCCTAGAAACAACAGATAGCCGTCAAATTTAAAGGATTTATTTCATTTTTAAAATTCAATTAACACAATCAATCCTTCGAATTTGTTTTCGGGTTTAATTAGTATTAGTAATCTACGGGGACCATGCTTTAATTAAAAGCACACATGCATTGCATGTTTGAGAACGGATCATAATTGCTCCTAACGAATTGTTAAACCCTCATCTGTTATCGAGGAATTCATGTGTTTCGAGCCCTTATGTAAAGGTATGAAATATTCCACTATTTATTGTGACACAACGTTTTGAGCAGATCCACCGGTTGGTGTGCATTTACTCAGTTAGTTGGTTAAATACACCTGGAAGTCAGTTTGGCGTACTTTGCACGATCTCCTTGCGTGAGTTCCTACTGTGATCGGAACCGTCTAGAAAGATTTCCTTCTCGTGTAATAAATCATGCTTACTAAACTATTGTATTTGCACGCGAAAACGTTGTATTGTGGCACATGGCTTATGAGTCATACATGTCTTCTATATATACATACCCTTCAGTACTGAGGGACCGTCTGCTAATCCGTGTCTTTAGTCGTGACGTTTATTTCCTATTATTCTTCGTTCTTATAGAATTATGTAACTCCCGTTATTGTTAGTTGTGGGTTTTTTCTTTGTCAATGATAAGGCCATGCATTGGAGTTGTGGGGTTAGACATGAACACAATACAACAGAGAACACATGTCAGAAGCGTAACTATCCCTTCTTAATCAGCATTACTTGACAGGGTTTATCTCACATTGGTTAGTGTATTATTTTGATATATTGTATAGTAGTTGTATATATAACCATAGTGATGTGGAGATGACCAAGTCAGTGTTGATTTCTGATTGAACATCTAAGGACGTAGCGTTCGGTATAGACGTCATTTATACAATAAAACAAATCCCAGAAATGTTCCCATTGCTTGGAAGTGTATCTTATCTAAACTCCAAATCCATGCGACAGAAAAAAACCATTTTCTTCATGTTATATGTTTTTACCTTTAAAATTATGTGACAAGAGAACTTCAATTAAAATTCCAATTTGGTTTTTGGCTACAAGCGTTATCTAAACACATATTAGTGGAAGAATGATAGCAATTAATTATTATGATCCTTAACATTTGTTTTGTCTCTCGTTAGATTTTAATCTTTTTATTTTCTATCCGCTGTGAGTTCCGATGACGTCATTGCACGTATTTGTTACGGTATAATTGAATGTCAGATAAATAAACAGACTGTACTCATGTGCACCAAAAAGCATTAACCTAAGCATCACTACCATTTGATTGGCTCATGCTCCATAATCAGCCACAATTATAATTCGAACTTGATATTTTGAAGATGATAATTTTTGTTTGCACATCGGTTGCATTCCCAGCGAGACGTTTAATGACGTCATCAGAGGCTTTAATTTGTATAACAGACACGTGCATACCAATCCGAGTGTTTTGTTAACGTTCACGTACGTAAACGTGTGAAATAGTCCATACAAAACCAGTCTCTTCAGGTCTCTCTTATTCTCCCTTCCTTTTACCTGTGTTTTATAGGAATGAGATGTTCCATTAGGACTAAAGGATTACTATCACTACTGAAAGGCACGAAAATATAAAGTAGTACATAGCTCAGTGAAGAAAACAACCTGCCAACGAGATGATTTACTGTTACCCGTATGTCATTATTCAAGGATTAGTTGTCTATTTTGGTCAGGTTATAAGGTGATTACTCCAGTGACCACGTGTAATGATTTTACTCGACCAAAATAGAAAATCATTTCTTATGCTTACAGTATTTTGCTGTGAATGGTTAGTGACTATTTTAGCCTTTAGTTTGATCACCAATATTTTTTACTGTCTTAACGGGTCGTCTTTTCAATAAAAGTAAAGGGTGTCTATAAGGCCCTTTTTTGGGCCCCGGTATATTCGGATTTTCACCTCCTTATTTTGTTCAAAGATGTCCTATTGTATGACATGCGGAAAAACTAAGGTAAAACCTTGACCGAAAGTGGGTTTCTGTGGGTACCAAAAGGGGTATGGTAAATCACAAATATAGTTTGCTGTTTTCAAAATGAGCGTAAAAACCGAAATAATACCATTTCATACCGTTTCTGTTTTTGAAAACATGTATAAATTAGACAAGCATATGTAACAGAATGAAAAATGTCAGAAATTCAATTGTCACTTAAAGGTTGTTTATATAAAACAAAGGATTACGTCAGGGGTCTTTTTTGGTCATTTTCAATTGAAAAGTAATTTGTTTTCTCAATAATTTCCTTTCTAATTAATATTTTGACTTGAAATTTACAACTTCACTCATTTAAGTAGACTTACATAAATTGCATATTGACTACATACTTTCCTTTTGTTTTATACTGAGTTATGGCTTCTGGACACATCTCAAACTTGGCTTATTCAACTATCTCTCAGTTTTAAGTGAATTAAAAGGTGCTTGACACCCTTTATATGCTATAAATATAAAATTTGCTCAACACAGTGGGTTCCAGGTCCTGATTTGGTGTTTTTACTTATCAAAGTTAACTTACAAATCAAACATGGCATTTGCCACCACAACTACTGTAAAATGATTGATTTAATATATGAAGTTTGATTTGCTGGTAATTTTAAGTCTCCTAGCCATGGTACGGTACCCTATCGTGTACGTGGGGGTTTTGTTTTAAAGTACAGCGGCTCTGCAATAGAAAGGCCCCACGGAGAGTATACAGCCGTTTGAGACATGTTGCTTACATTGATTGTTTACATTTATGTTTATGACATGCTCATATATGATAAAAGTAAATGTGTGGCTGTTCAAGAGACTGAACTAAAATCTTACTAATGACAAAGATTGTATCATCATCTTTGGAACAGTAAAGCTTAAAATGCAATACGGTTTTAACCTTTCAATGCCATGTATTGGTAAATGATTGTACTAAATAGTTTTACGTCATTCTTATCATATTTTTTTTTAACTCTGAACACTGAATAAACATACAGCTAGGCCACTAAGTAATTACACTGATACGTTTGTTACAGCGCGTGATAGTTCGGGTACTCTCATTTACATATTTGCATTATCTACCGGAAGCTGCAGCTTGTTTTCCCTATCGATTTGGTCCACCTACACATTTTAAGTTTGACCATGTAGTCGTCCATTTACACATTTTTGTTACATGTAGCTTTTGTCAAATGCAACTATGTGATCATGCCCGCATAGACAAGTGTTGTCACTTGATCTCAACATATTGTGATTTTTGATCACGTCTACCTATATAGCTCTGGTAACGTAATCATGTGTACCTAGACACCACTGGTAAGCTTATAGTTAATGGGGCTAATAGAATATCCCTTACCTTGATGGTATGACAATCTCTAACAGTCATGGTGTTTTTTTCATTGTCTAATCTGATGTTCTTTCGAGAACTCCAAATAACCACGATGTGGATGGAGATTTCTTTGTAACATTCTCAAGATAGGGGATGATTATTTTCTCCCTTCACTTTGTTAAAAACAACATTGTTCAGTACTTGCAATCCATATTAGTGGATGGTTAGTTTAGGCGATCAGACACCTAAACCATTCGGCCACCGCAATCCATACTGGAGGGTTAGTTTTTACGATAAGACACCTAAACACTCAGCCGCTGCAATCCATATTGGAGGAGGGTTAGTTTTTACGATAAGACACCTAAACCACTCGGCCACTGCAATCCATATTAGTGGAGGGTTAGTTTAGACGATCAGACACCTAAACCATTCGGCCACCGCAATCCATATTGGTGGAGGGTTAGTTTTTACGATAAGACACCTAAACACTCAGCCGCAATCCATATTGGAGGAGGGTTAGTTTTTACGATAAGACACCTAAACCACTCGGCCACCGCAATCCATATTGGTGGAGGGTTAGTTTAGACGATCAGACACCTAGACCATTCGGCCACCGCAATCTATATTGGTGGAGGGTTAGTTTTTACGATAAGACACCTAAACCACTCGGCCACCGTAATCCATATTGGCGGAGGGT